GAACAGGAAAAAATACAATCATAAAGATATTAGATCTGAAATGATCTATAATTATTTTACATGATAATCAGTCACCATGCTGAGGACATTTTCTTTCATAAGTTTATCAGCTCTCTATTTCCTCTGGGAAATTCTGCATACTTGAAGAGTAGTCATTTAGTACACAGGGACATTAAAATATTCATGACGTGGCTACAAGAGAAATGCATATATTCTTACACACAATACACAAACTCATATAATCAGATTTCTAGAATGTTTAGTTCACAGTAAAGTTGCCTAAAATTTAAGTTTTACAGCTGAACATGTAATTTCTTCAACAATGACGAGTTCAGATTTATCTTATGTAACTTTATACAATGGTAAAGATGATCACCTACACCTAAAAATATCTTAAAGCATTGTTTTTATTAGTAATATTCTGAAAAGATTTTCAGCTTAAGTCATCTAGTCAGTACCGAGTCAACTAAAAAATAGAATAAATCCTTCCACCAATGTCTTAAGTTCATCAGGATTTTATCACATGAAGTAGCCATCCCAGAGGGAAATCTTCTAAGATAATGGAAAGTAGTTACCCATATGGTATTTTAAGTAGCAATAAAGGCTTTTAACTGTTCACTTAGCTACAAAAGAGTAAATCTATTGACTATGACTTTGAGACTAAGAATATGAATTTTAAAAAAAATCTTCAAGTTAGACTTTTAAAGAACTCTCCAAGCAAAATTGTTAAATGTGTCTGCCTAAAAATTTCTGTCACAGGATGTTTCTCATGTCAGCAAGGGAAAAGAAGCTAGCCTGAAGTGTGGTTTAAGCTGATCCTGTCTTCCTGCACACACAATTGCATGAAATTACATGGAAAATTCTACATATTCCTTTTTGTATTTATTCAAGCTTAAACTCTGATATATTTGGCTATAAAAACATGTAAACTGTCTCCCCCCAATAACATATTTCTACATTTATACAACCATTAAATATAGTAATATCTGAAGATAAAATCCAGTTATACTCCTAAACATTTTAAGATTACTTTTTCTCCACTTAGAATAGATAATAAAATTAAACAGCAAGCAATTAAAATAAATTTCAATTATAAACCCCCAACTCATTTTCTTACAACGTTTTTTTAACAGGGAAA